TGCCTTGCCCTGTCCTGTCGCAGATGTAGTTGTCGCCGCACAACCCAACGGGTGGATGGACGCTGGCGGCGGCGTCAAGTGGCTTGACGAGGCTATGCGGCCTTATACCCGGCCGGCTTTCGGTTGCCGTGCTCGCAGGATCCTGCTGATACTGGACTCTTATTGCGCACACCTCACCGATGTGGTCAAGGCAAAGTACCAGGAGCTGGACATCATCCCCGGCGTGATTCCTGCTGGCTGCACTTCGGAGGTGCAGCCGCTCGATGTGTTTGTGAATCGAGCCAAGGCGTCTGTTCGACAGCAATAACAGGCGTGGTTTGAAGCAGAGGGCATCAACAGCTGAACTGCCAAAGGTACTGTCTGATCAAGGCCCTTGTTCGTTCCCATATACTGGTACTAACCTGTAGTGGCCTCTGTTTGTGCGCAGGCAACCTCAAGAAGCATTCACCTGAGCAAACGCCCAGGTGGATAGCGAAGGCCTGGAGAGCAGTGCCTGCAATACTCATCCAGAAAGCGTTCCTCACCTGTGGCATCAGTAACGCCCTTGATGGCTCCCAGGACGAGCTTTGCATGGCGCACTGGCGGAACGGAGAGCCCGCGTCCGTCGATTGAGACGACGAAGTGGCGGCGGATGGCTTCTTCGGCAACAACGTAGTGGAGCCAAAGTCGGATGGTGAGGATAAGGAAGATGGGGAGGAGGATGGGGAGGAGGACCTTGACGACCCCACCTCCATCCGCTACCATTAGAGTAGGATGATTAGTAAATACGGTATTTCTGACATCGCAGTACAATGATGTTAGAAACTGAACCATACAACCTGGGTGCAGGAAGTGCACATCCGTCTCTAGTTTACCGATTCAGAGTTATTTTGGCGCGCAAATTTTTTTACCACGAGAAGTTTTGATATCGTCACTCCTTGCTGGGATTTCGCCGCAACCGGCCGAGTTGAATGTGTGCTTGTACGGTATTGACAGTGCATCAGTGCAAGTGACCGCGCAAGGGTGCTCACGGTGCCATCAGGGCGCTCTGCAGCTTGCATGGGAGAGGAGTCAGTGGCCGGCTGGAGGAGAACCATTTGGGGGCAGGCAGCACAGGGAGAGAGCAGAACGTGGCGAGGGAAGCACATGGAGAGAGAAGCACGGGGAGAGAAGTGAAGCACACGGGGAGCGAACCACAGGGAGAGGGAGGGAAGCACAGGGAGTATGAGGCACAGGGGAGAACATGGCAAGGGACATTACTAAGCACAGAAGAATAAAATCCTAGGCGGTCCAAGGTTGTTACCTAGAATATTCCCACAAGACGCAGAGTCACAGTAAGTTGCTGCCCTCCCATATCCCACCCTCCCATCTCCCACTCCCGTCTTCCCATCTCCCACTCCCGTCTTCCCATCTCCCACCCTCCCATCTCCCACCCTCCCATCTCTCACCCTCCCACCTCCCACCCTTCCATCTCCCACCCTTCCATCTCCCACCCTCCCATCTCCCACCCTCCCATCTCCCACCCTCCCATCTCCCACCCTCCCATCACGCGAAAAACCCACTTCCCGGTGAGTATCGTCTTGTTGCGTGCTACTCCGATGGGAACGACCTTCCAGGTGTTGCGTTCTTCCAGCGCCTTTAATTCTTTGTCCATGGTTTCGCGCCATTTTTCCCTGTGCTCCCCCCCCAGAGCCTGCTCAACTGTGGCAGGCTCCTTAGGCGGCTCGGCTCCGTGGACGGCGGTGACGAGTCCCAGTATCTGGAGTCCACTCTGTGTGTAGCAGGGGAGATTTGCGTCCTCGGGATAAGCTGCCTTATCCCCCGCTTCTGGATCAGGTAAGAAATTGGGCCCTATGCGTTCGGAAATGTTGGTGTCGACCGATTGGGGTGTAACGTAACCGTTGTCAGCGAAGTCGTAGAAGACTTCGGCGTTGATGCTTTCGCGAGGGTTGTCGTCGTCCATTGGGACATCCACCGAACAGTAGGGAAGAGGTCCGGCTTCTTCCGAAGCTCTGTCCACGTTCTGCTCGTCCTAGTCAGCTTCATCTGCTGCCGAAGCGAAGGCTCGGTCCCCACGAAATCCGCCTGTGACATCTCGTGAAGTTTCCAAGTTGTACAGGTACGTCGGAAGTGTGAGATGTTCGTAGAAGGACATGAAGGAGAAGAACTTCTCCATCATGTTTGGGTCGAAGCCGGTCGTATGGTTTGCGGAAGTCTCAGTGGACTCAGCAGCTGGTCATGTCGCCGTGCCTCCCTCTGTCTGTAGGCCAGAGGCTGGAGGTGGAGTAGGGGTAGTACCAGGAGAGCCGTTAGAAGAGCTTCTCTCTTTCTGTGTTGCCATGTCTTCTGATGTTGCAGGAGTTTAAGCAAGTTGAATCTTGCCTTGTCAGCTCTCATACCATGTTGGGCTGAGAAAAGCCCTTAGGATCTTTCAAGGCTAAGACTCAGACAGGAATGTTGTATTGCGGAAGCGTTTAATGATAAGTTGTTGAACCACCTTGTGCTGGTATGTGAGGGCAAGATAGATTGATTTTAAGGAAGTAATACAAGCTTTTATAAGATTACAAGGAATATGAAAGGATGCAATAACCGTTCTGCTGTTGCTATTGCGGTTCGATACAGTGACGACTCGGGCAACTGCTCAATACCGGGTCAGTTGTTTGTCCTTGCTGTCGCGCTGTATTTGTCGAGTCAAAGGTCGCTGACCTTTGACCTTCGCGTAACCTCCGGCTGTTACTTTTCTGTCAACCTCCTCGGTTGACTCGCCATTGTTCCGCTGTAGCTTGCCGCATTTACGGTTCGATGTTACGACACATAGGAAGCGTTAAATTACTTGTTTCCAACAGTTGTTATGGAATACCGTGATACGCTTGTTGGAAACAAGTAATTTACGCTTCCTATGTGTCGTAACATCGAACCATAAACGAGGCAAGCTACAGCGAAGCAATGGTGAGTCAACCGAAGAGGTTGACAGAAAAGTAACAGCCGGAGGTTATGCGAAGGTCAAAGGTCAGCAACCTTTGACTCGACAAATACAGCGCGACAGCAAGGACAAACAACTGACTCGATATTGAGCAGTTGCCCGAGTCGTCACTGTATCGAACCGCAACAGCAACAGCAAAACGGTTATTGCATCCTTTCATATTCCTTGTAATCATATAACAGCTTGTATTGCTTCTTTATAATTAATCTATCTTGCTCTCACACACTAGTGCAAGGTGGTTCAACAAATTCATTATTACAACGCTTCCGCAACACAACATTCCTATCAGAGTCTTAGCCTTGAAAGATCCTAAGGGCTTTTCTCAGCCCAACATGGTACGAGAGCTGACAAGGCAAGATTCATCTTTGATTATACTCCTACAACATCAGAAGACATGGCAACACAGAAGGAGAGAAGCTCCTCTAACGGCTCTCCTGGTACTACTCCTACTCCACCTCCAGCCTCTGGCCTACAGACAGAGGGAGGCACTGCGTCAAGACCAGCTGCTGAATCCACTGAGACTCCTGCAAACCAAACGACCGGCTTTGACCCAAACATGATGGAGAAGTTCTTCTCCTTCATGTCCTTCTACGAACAGCACCAGCAACCAGCACCTGCGCAGTCAAACAACAGCGACAACAACAACGGCGTTACCCCAATGAGTCTTGACGGCTCATCCTACGCACGCAGAAACCAGCAGCAACCTACCTTTGCTCCATACGAGCCTCAACGTGGCTCCATCAGCTTCATGCCGCACCAACAGCCTCCACCTGGATAAGAGAAGACACTGGACACGCTTCAGGTTCAATCGCAGTTTGCACACGTTCTGAAGCTGCAGACATCAACACCCTTTGACGGGAAGGACTTTTATACCTGGTCCTTCGAATTCGAGTTGATGATGGAAGGCGCGCAGATCCTCGGATTCTTCGATGGATCCCTGCCATACCCAACACACGGGACACAGTACGACAAACAACAGTATACGTATCAGTCGCTGATGGCGTATACGATTCTCCTACGCAACATCACACCGAACGAGCAGCAGATCATTCGGTCTTATCGTGGATACGGCAACTCCGCCGAGCTCGCGTACAACCACTTGAAGAACCTGTATCAAGAAACAGACAGCGTCAATCAGAGTCGTCTCATGGCACAGCTGACAACAGTGGAAATGAAACCCGGCGAAAAGGGGATGGCGTATTTCAGCCGTTGTCGCGGACTGCGCGACAGACTCCTTCAATGTGGAGGATCGATATCCGAAGAAGCCTTCGAGACAGTCGTCATCACTGGTCTCGGTCCTCATTGGCGCTCCACTCGAGCTATTCTTCGGGCTCACGGGAAGATCTCCGAAGCGGCACTCTGTGTCGAAATTCACGCCGAACAACAGGATATGGACCTACACGAAGAACGACACAAGAAAAGAGCGTCAGTACCTGAGTTTGCATTTCACACTCAACGGCGTTACAACAACAACAACAACCGACAGAACAAACATCAAGCTCGACAGTTCGTACCTCCATTCTGCCATCTCTGCAAGACGTCCGGACACCCCCGCACTCACTGCCCGAATCAACAACAGTCAACACTGCCGCAGCGTCAGCTTCGACCCTCAAGCAGTCAAGTGGCTTCTACACAGGCGCACCCCACCAATCAAGTACAGTCAACATTGACGACAAATCCTGCACAAGGCACAAGAAACATCGTGAGCTGCATGGCAAGAACAACTGATTCCTGCATCACCGGATCGCCACCATACTACTCACTAGAAGAACAGCTCGACGAAAGCACCCCCCGCCGCGAATCACTGGAACCCAACCCGACGTACGCAGCCATCGCCCAGAGCAAACCGTCCGGGAAAGATACCTGGTTCTTGGACAGTTGATGCGGACAGCACATGTGCTGCTTGAGTCGCTTCGTTCAACGGGAACACCAACTGCAGCGCAAAGTCGTCATCACCGTCGCCAAGAATCAGAACCTGCGCACACGACGACAAGGAGTAGTTCAGCTTCAATCGCGAGAAACCAACGTTATCCTGCAAATGTCGAAAGTCTTGATTGCAGAAGGACTCGGCTACAACTTACTGAGCGTCAGTCAACTCTCCCATCTCCCACTGTCCCATCTCCCACCCTCCCATCTCCCACCGTCCCATTTTCCCACCCTCCCATCTCCACCATCCCATCTCCCAACCTTCCATTTCCCACCCTTCCATCTCTTACCCTCCCATCTCCCACCCTCCTATCTCTTACCCTCCCATCTCCCACCCTCCCATCTCCCACCCTCCCATCTCCCACCCTCCCATCTCTCACCCTCCCACCTCCCACCCTTCCATCTCCCACCCTTCCATCTCCCACCCTCCCATCTCCCACCCTCCAATCTCCCACCCTCCCATCTCTCACCCTCCCATCCCCCACCCTCGCATCTCCCACCCTCCCATCTCCCACCCTCCCATCTCCCACCCTCCCATCTCCCACCCTCCCATCTCCCACCCTCCCATCTCCCACCCTCCCATCTCCCACGCTCCCATCTCCCACCCTCCCATCTCCCAGCCTCCTATCTCCCAACCTCCCATCTCCCACCCTCCCATCTCCCACCCTCCCATCTCCCACCCTCCCATCTCCCACCCTCCCATCTCCCACCCTCCCATCTCCCACCCTCCCATCTCCCACCCTCCCATCTCCCACCCTCCCATCTCCCACCCTCCCATCTCTTACGCTCCCATCTCCCAACCTCCCATCTCCCACCCTCCCATCTCCCACCCTCCCATCTCCCACCCTCCCATCTCCCACCCTCCCATCTCCCACCCTCCCATCCCTCACCCTCCCATCCTTCACCGTCCCATTTTCCCACCCTCCCATCTCCACCATCCCATCTCCTAACCTTCCATTTCCCACCCTTCCATCTCTTACCCTCCCATCTCCCACCCTCCCATCTCCCACCCTCCCATCTCCCACCCTCCCATCTCCCACCCTCCCATCTCTTACTCTCCCATCTCCCACCCTCCAATCTCCCACCCTCCCATCTCCCACCACATCTCCCACCCTCCCATCTCCCACCCTCCCATCTCCCACCCTCCCATCTCCCACCCTCCCATCTCCCACCCTCCCATATCCCACCCTCCCATATCCCACCCTCCCATCTCCCACCCTCCCATATCCCACCCTCCCATATCCCACCCTCCCATCTCCCACCCTCCCATCTCCCACCCTCCCATATCCCACCCTCCCATATCCCACCCTCCCATCTCCCACCCTCCCATATCCCACCCTCCCATCTCCCACCCTCCCATCTCCCACCCTCCCATATCCCACCCTCCCATCTCCCACCCTCCCATCTCCCACCCTCCCATATCCCACCCTCCCATATCCCACCCTCCCATCTCCCACCCTCCCATCTCCCACCCTCCCATCTCCCACCCTCCCATCTCCCACCCTCCCATCTCCCACCCTCCCATCTCCCACCCTCCCATCTCCCACCCTCCCATATCCCACCCTCCCATCTCCCACCCTCCCATCTCCCACCCTCCCATATCCCACCCTCCCATATCCCACCCTCCCATCTCCCACCCTCCCATCTCCCACCCTCCCATCTCCCACCCTCCCATCTCCCACCCTCCCATATCCCACCCTCCCATCTCCCACCCTCCCATCTCCCACCCTCCCATCTCCCACCCTCCCATCTCCAACCCTCCCATCTCCCACCCTCCCATCTCCCACCCTCCCATATCCCACCCTCCCATATCCCACCCTCCCATCTCCCACCCTCCCATATCCAACCCTCCCATCTCCCACCCTCCCATCTCCCACCCTCCCATATCCCACCCTCCCATCTCCCACCCTCCCATCTCCCACCCTCCCATATCCCACCCTCCCATCTCCCACCCTCCCATATCCCACCCTCCCATATCCCACCCTCCCATCTCCCACCCTCCCATCTCCCACCCTCCCATATCCCACCCTCCCATATCCCACCCTCCCATCTCCCACCCTCCCATCTCCCACCCTCCCATCTCCCACCCTCCCATCTCCCACCCTCCCATATCCCACCCTCCCATATCCCACCCTCCCATCTCCCACCCTCCCATCTCCCACCCTCCCATCTCCCACCCTCCCATCTCCCACCCTCCCATCTCCCACCCTCCCATATCCCACCCTCCCATATCCCACCCTCCCATCTCCCACCCTCCCATCTCCCACCCTCCCATCTCCTACCCTCCCATCTCCCACCCTCCCATCTCCCACCCTCCCATCTCCCACCCTCCCATATCCCACCCTCCCATATCCCACCCTCCCATCTCCCACCCTCCCATCTCCCACCCTCCCATCTCCCACCCTCCCATCTCCCACCCTCCCATCTCCCACCCTCCCATATCCCACCCTCCCATCTCCCACCCTCCCATCTCCCACCCTCCCATCTCCCACCCTCCCATATCCCACCCTCCCATCTCCCACCCTCCCATCTCCCACCCTCCCATCTCCCACCCTCCCATCTCCCACCCTCCCATCTCCCACCCTCCCATCTCCCACCCTCCCATCTCCCACCCTCCCATCTCCCACCCTCCCATCTCCCACCCTCCCATCTCCCACCCTCCCATCTCCCACCCTCCCATCTCCCACCCTCCCATCTCCCACCCTCCCATCTCCCACCCTCCCATCTCCCACCCTCCCATCTCCCACCCTCCCATCTCCCACCCTCCCATATCCCACCGTCCCATATCCCACCCTCCCATCTCCCACCCTCCCATCTCCCACCCTCCCATCTCCCACCCTCCCATCTCCCACCCTCCCATCTCCCACCCTCCCATCTCCCACCCTCCCATATCCCACCCTCCCATATCCCACCCTCCCATCTCCCACCCTCCCATCTCCCACCCTCCCATCTCCCACCCTCCCATCTCCCACCCTCCCATCTCCCACCCTCCCATCTCCCACCCTCCCATATCCCACCCTCCCATATCCCACCCTCCCATCTCCCACCCTCCCATCTCCCACCCTCCCATCTCCCACCCTCCCATCTCCCACCCTCCCATATCCCACCCTCCCATATCCCACCCTCCCATCTCCCACCCTCCCATCTCCCACCCTCCCATCTCCCACCCTCCCATCTCCCACCCTCCCATCTCCCACCCTCCCATCTCCCACCCTCCCATCTCCCACCCTCCCATATCCCACCCTCCCATATCCCACCCTCCCATCTCCCACCCTCCCATCTCCCACCCTCCCATCTCCCACCCTCCCATCTCCCACCCTCCCATCTCCCACCCTCCCATATCCCACCCTCCCATCTCCCACCCTCCCATCTCCCTCCCTCCCATCTCCCACCCTCCCATATCCCACCCTCCCATCTCCCACCCTCCCATCTCCCACCCTCCCATCTCCCACCCTCCCATCTCCCAGCCTCCTATCTCCCAACCTCCCATCTCCCACCCTCCCATCTCCCACCCTCCCATCTCCCACCCTCCCATCTCCCACCCTCTTATCTCCCACCGTCCCATTTTCCCACCCTCCCATCTCCACCATCCCATCTCCCAACCTTCCATTTCCCACCCTTCCATCTCTTACCCTCCCATCTCCCACCCTCCCATCTCCCACCCTCCCATCTCCCACCCTCCCATCTCCACCCTCCCATCTCCTACCCTCCCATCTCCCTCCCTCCCATCTCCCTCCCTCCCATCTCCCACCCTCCCATCCCTCACCCTACCACCTCTCACCCTCCCACCTCTCACCCTCCAATCTCCACCCTCCAATCTCCCACCCTCCCATCTCCCACCGTCCCATCTCCCACCCTTCCGTCTTCCACCCTCCCATCTCCCACCCTCGCATCTCCCACCCTTCCATCTCCCACCCTCCCATATCCCACCCTCCCATCTCCCACCCTCCCATCTCCCACCCTCCCATCTCCCACCCTCCCATCTCCCACCCTCCCATCTCCCACCCTCCCATATCCCACCCTCCCATATCCCACCCTCCCATATCCCACCCTCCCATCTCCTACCCTCCCATCTCCCACCCTCCCATATCCCACCCTCCCATATCCCACCCTCCCATCTCCCACCCTCCCATATCCCACCCTCCCATCTCCCACCCTCCCATCTCCCACCCTCCCATATCCCACCCTCCCATCTCCCACCCTCCCATCTCCCACCCTCCCATATCCCACCCTCCCATATCCCACCCTCCCATCTCCCACCCTCCCATCTCCCACCCTCCCATCTCCCACCCTCCCATCTCCCACCCTCCCATCTCCCACCCTCCCATCTCCCACCCTCCCATCTCCCACCCTCCCATCTCCCACCCTCCCATCTCCCACCCTCCCATATCCCACCGTCCCATATCCCACCCTCCCATCTCCCACCCTCCCATCTCCCACCCTCCCATCTCCCACCCTCCCATCTCCCACCCTCCCATCTCCCACCCTCCCATCTCCCACCCTCCCATCTCCCACCCTCCCATATCCCACCCTCCCATATCCCACCCTCCCATCTCCCACCCTCCCATCTCCCACCCTCCCATCTCCCACCCTCCCATCTCCCACCCTCCCATCTCCCACCCTCCCATCTCCCACCCTCCCATATCCCACCCTCCCATATCCCACCCTCCCATCTCCCACCCTCCCATCTCCCACCCTCCCATCTCCCACCCTCCCATCTCCCACCCTCCCATATCCCACCCTCCCATATCCCACCCTCCCATCTCCCACCCTCCCATCTCCCACCCTCCCATCTCCCACCCTCCCATCTCCCACCCTCCCATCTCCCACCCTCCCATCTCCCACCCTCCCATCTCCCACCCTCCCATATCCCACCCTCCCATATCCCACCCTCCCATCTCCCACCCTCCCATCTCCCACCCTCCCATCTCCCACCCTCCCATCTCCCACCCTCCCATCTCCCACCCTCCCATCTCCCACCCTCCCATCTCCCTCCCTCCCATCTCCCACCCTCCCATATCCCACCCTCCCATCTCCCACCCTCCCATCTCCCACCCTCCCATCTCCCACCCTCCCATCTCCCACCCTCCCATCTCCCACCCTCCCATCTCCCACCCTCCCATCTCCCAACCTCCCATCTCCCACCCTCCCATCTCCCACCCTCCCATCTCCCACCCTCCCATCTCCCACCCTCGCCTGCTTGCACCTCCCAGCTACCTGGGTTCGTTGGCTGACAGCCATGGCCAGAGAACCCCTGCTTGCACCTCCCCTGCTTGCACCTCCCCTGCTTGCACCTCCCCTGCTTGCACCTCCCCTGCTTGCACCTCCCCTGCTTGCACCTCCCCGGGCAGAGGTGAAAAAAATGGGGCAGAGGGAAAATTAAACCGGGCAAAGGGAAAAGACGATGGGGAAGCATGAAAAAGACGATGGGGCAGGGGGGAAAGGCGATGGGGGAGAGGGAAAAGACGATTGAAGTAAGAAGGGTAAATGGAAGAATGGTGAAATTTGGCAAGAGTGCAGAGCTGAAATGCACAGGGAAGGCAGGCGGAGTGAGAGGGGCATGGGGAGGAGGGAGGGGAGGGGTGTGGGGCGGCAGAAAGAGGATTACCGAGGGAGCAGAGCAGTGGAGCAGCAGCACGCCATACCTCCCGGTGTCACACCCACACGCCGCACAAGCACGGAGAGGGGTGAGGGGCGGAGGGAGACGGGTGAGTGGGGGCCGGTGATCGGAGGTTACCGAGGGAGCAGAGCAGTGGAGCCACCAGCACTCCCGGTGTCACACCCACACGCTCCACACACCCTGCGCTGCCTCCACCTGCTGCCCTGCCCTCCCTGCTGCCATCCCTGCTGCCGTCCCTGCTGCTTTCCCTGCTGCCGTCCCTGCCGCCGTCCCTGCTGCCGTCCCTGCTGCCGTCCCTCACCTCATGCAGAAAAGTAAACGCACGCCCCTCTTGACCCCACTCTTCCCTCTCGCACGCATCCCGCCCATCCCGCCCATCCCGCCCATCCCACCCATCCCGCCCATCCTGCCCCTCTCGCCTCCACTCATACTCATCGCTGCCTCTCGCTGCGCACTCGTCCTCGTGCTCATCCCATCCACTTTCCTTCCTCCACGTCCCTGACCGCCCTTCATCACCCTCTAACCACTCCTCTCAACTTGCCTTGTCATTATCTGTCTCGTCTCCACTGCCCCCCGTTCCCTCATCGTTGCTCTAATCAACTCAGTGCTCTCTACCCTCCCTTGCCCCACCCTCTCACTCGCCTCCAAATCATCATCACTCCCTTCCATGCTCGCACCATTCAATCTCTCACACTCTCCCCTGTGGTCCTCACATCTCATCTCCCCGCCTCCAGCCCCACTTTCCAGCACCCCGCTTCCACACCCCCCTCCCCCTCACGCTCCTCCTCCCTCAACGCCTCAACCACATGCCGCCACCACCCCTTCCGCCCACCCACATGCTCCTCCCCACACTCCTCCCCAGTTTCCTCTACCTCGGCAATCCCTTCTGCCTCTCTCTCACCTCATCCCTCTTCTTTCTTACCCTTGTTCACTTCATTCTCCTCTTCCTGCACCGCGCACCCTTCTTCCATCGCACTCTCTTCCTCCCTCCCACCACCAACTGCTTCTTCTTCTTCCTCCTCTCTTTCGCACAACACACCAGCACGCTCCGCTCCCTACCATCGCCCTCCCTGGAAGCATGCCCATCCATTCTACCCCTGCCGTCCTCCAACCTCTTGCACCAACATTATCTTCCATTCTCCCCCCCTGCCTCCCTGACCGCTGCTGTCCAATCCTATGAACTAGGCACGGCAAGGCCTCCCCTCCCTCCCTCACACACTTGTGCTGGAAGCGGCAGGGCGAGGGGGCACACAGGCAGCAGACGCGCGGAATGCACTGCTGCGAGCTGGGGAGGGTGGTGGAAAGGAATCGGGGGAAGTGGAGAGGGAATGGGGAAGGGGAGGGGGTTGTGCGAAAGGAATGGAAACGAAGGGGTGTTTGGAAGAAGGCAGGGGGCGGGGGGGGTACACAGGCAGAAGACACACGGAATACAGTGCTGGTAGCTGGAGAAGGAAGAAGATGGACAGGGGGGAGAATAGGTCGCATGGTACAAGTGCTTATGAACGCTCCACTTTAGCCGTGGGATGGGAAGACTAGAGAATTACGCCCCAAGACAACAACCCAAGAACGCATGCACAGCTAGCCAAGTCAGCCGTGTGTCGTGTCAAACTTGGGGAAGGAAAAGTGAGGTGCAGCCGCTCCGTGTGGTGCGGCAGAAACAACCGGCATTGACATTCCAAGTCAGGTGACTGGAAGCCGGCACCTCACTCGACGTGCGAGTTGTGACAAGGAGCAGAATTTGAAAAGGAGCCGGATGGCTTTCAAATCGACTCAACATTCATCGTGAACACGACACAGACGTTGCCATGGCTTTACGGTGTACCTTACTCTTGCTTCAGTAACAAACGAGCAATTCGGCTTGAATTAACTAACGTGGGTTATTGTCGCTCACAACACACAATCGAACGCCGCACGCTCCCACCACCACCACCATCATCCACCCACTCTCAACCATCTCTTGGACCCCCACCCACATCCCACCAATTTCTCACGCATCACCACCCCTCTCTCACCCAGCATCAACTGCGCATTACCTCTGCACCCGCTCTTCCTGCCATGTCAGAATATGTTGTTTGTGTAGCCTGCAGTGGGGTACTCAATAGTGAGTACAGCCCCTTAGGGTTTGCTATTTGTATCCTGCTGCTTGCTAGTTCAATCTTTCCTCCTCAATTCTTGTTCGTACACACATTCCTAGCTCGTACTTGGCTCCTCGTTACTAGTCTTACTGTGGCCTAGGCTACTAAGCCTAGGCCGTACTCCTACTATATTTGACATGCCATGCCTCCTCCTGCCACCAGCCCTCCTCCACTCAACTCCCCCCCCCCCCGCGCCCACTCCCGCTGCTGCTTCCCCTCGCCTCTCTCTCCTCCCTGGCCCTTCCGTGTCACCTGCCACACCCATTCCCCCCCATCCCTGCCACACTCCCTCTTCCTCTCCACCCTCCTCCCTCTGTATCACCGCCCCACTGCTTCCTCCTCGTGCCCATGCAGCTGCACGACCTGCCGTGGTCCCTCCTCTGCTCTGCCTCGCATGCCACTACTGCATCTATCCTCCACCCGTTCTGCTCTATCCTCCACCCGTTCTGCTCTATCCTCCACCCGTTCTGCTCTATCCTCCACCCGTTCTGCTCTATCCCCACTGGATCTCGCTCCGGAATCACTCCTCCCTTGCAGTCGTGCTTCTCTCGCTGCTGCAGCAGGCATGGATGCAGATATGGGAGCAGGCATGGGAGCAGGCATGGGAGCAGGCATGGGAGCAGGCATGGGAGCAGGCATGGATGCAGATATGGGAGCAGGCATGGGAGCAGGCATGGGAGCAGGCATGGGAGCAGGCATGGGAGCAGGCATGGGAGCAGGCATGGGAGCAGGCATGGGAGCACTTTGGGCAGGCTTCTGTGCGTTTGGCCTGGGCGGAGCATGCTTGACAATAGTGGGATGAGGCGGAGGAGGGGTGGCAGCAGCAGCAGGCGGCGCAGGTGGAGCAGGAGAAGAGGCAGGGGAGAGCAGCAGCATGTGGGGACAAGCAACCATCTGCAGTCGCATCGCACCACTGCATGCCCCAAATGCCCGCCCTCGCCGCCCCTGTTCTCACTGCCCCCGCCCTCACCACACCACCCCAGCTGCTGCGTGCTGCATCACCCCATGGCGTGGCAGCAGGTGGGTTGCACTCCCGCGCGTCGGTAGCCCCACAGGCGTGCGGTAGATGGGCAGATCACCTGAGGTGGGCTGTGGTGGGCGGCGAGAGCGACTAGCGACCGACACGACACGTGGAACGGCAAGGCCACAGGGCGAACAGCACAGAATCGCAGTGACACCAAGGCAATGTATTGACTCAAAAGACACTTGCCTTACACAGCAAGACAACACGGACTGATACCCCACAAAACGGCTGTGGACGAGAGCTGTGGGTGCATGGTGCTATGTGGGTGCTATGTGGGTGCTACCTGGCAGGCGAGGCAGTGGCGGTGGGCAGCAGCAGGGCGTCGCGGAGAGAAAAGGCCGCCCCCACTGACACGCCCGGGGGCCAGGGGGAGGTATCACGGTGGACGTATGCTGGATGGACAGTGGGGTGGGTGCTGGCGTGGATGGTGGGGTGGATGAGGGTGCATGTACACAAACACATGCACCTGCTGCCCGCTCGCAAGGCAGGCAGGGGGGTGAGTAGTGCAGGAGGCGGGCGGAGACGACGAGGTGGTCGAGACGCGACAAGCACCACTCGTGCGCGCCATGGGCGCGCGCAGCATGCGCTCTCCGCCGGCGCTACTACCATGACCGTGACCGCTGATTGCTCGAAGATGGACCGTGAGTAGAGGTGAGAAGTTGATTGACAAGAACGAGTGACAAACAAATACAACCGGAGAAGTGTAACTAAAGCAAAGATCACTCATACATGGTGCGCACTAGGACATGATATGTTCCTCTCGTCTCCCACATTGTCTTCATTGCACACTTTCACATCTGCACTGCAGTAGCACACAAGCCTAACTAGCCACAGCACACTATCCACAGCACCGCACAGCACCGCACAGCGTCGTTGACATGGGCGAAGGTGAGCTGGCGTCTCCTGGCGTCACCTTGAACTGGTGCGACCTCACCTGATTGGACAACCACGTGCCACGCGTGCAAACGTTATTTGCAACAAACAGAACAGCTCAGAGGGCTTTTTGGTGGTTAGTGTGTGTATGAATGGGTGGGTGTCTTTATCCGGTGATAGAGTGCAACAATGCAGTGTCTCGGCGCAATAGTGGCGCACAATCCTAAGCCCGTGAGCACTCTCCCCTACAATTGTCTCTTCTCCTACCTGCAGGTGTCATAAGTGCGAATGGTTTCATTATCGCAGCCTATATTGATCGAGTGAAGGCCAGCGTTCAGACCAAATGAGCCCCTTTTACCCACTCTCTTCCTCACCCTCACACCCGCCCACCTGAACCACAGCAAACGCGTCTTGCTCCTTGATCCCTAACTCCGCTGCTTCGCTGACATCACTCCTGTTGGTCGCGAAACGCCACTCCCAGGACTGACGCGACCGTTACGAGGCCTTCGCGAGGCCTTTACGCGACCCTGACTGGCCCTCGGCTCGTTTTCTGCTTCACGCGCCCTTCACGAAGCTTTCACGGAACCTTCACGGGCCTCAAACGGGCCCTACACCCGAATTCTGCAGCTTCAGTACTTTGCTAGGCCTTCACGGGCCTTTGACGGAAGTTTCACGGATGAAACTCGAAACACTAGGCTTGACTTAGCCAAAACGGAACTTTGACGGGAGTTTCACTGCACCACTAGAAATTTCGACCAATCACAGTTGAACACAAATTCCAACCGAGGAAATCCAAAATGTGTTGCAATTGTGTTGATTCCAAATGCCTAGTACAAACAGATTTATTCCCTAACCAAAGCACACACACAATATGGTAACAAAACGTGTTCTACAAGCAAACCATTGCCCACGTTTCACGTCGCGTCGCACACGCAACCCCAATATCTTCGTCGAACGTCCCCCAAGTCCGAAAAACGGAAACTTGTTGAACACGCCTCAGGTTCCTTGTTGAACACTCAACTTCCCAACCAATCAAACCTTCCCGTCAATTCATTTCCCGTCACTTCTCCTTCACTCCCATTTCTTCCTCACGTTTCTTCTCCTTTCCCCATAACGTAGCACACACGCATAGTAATCTTTGTCGAATGGTAAGCAAAAGTTTAGCAGCAGAAAGGAGAGATGGCACTAGCAAGCAGTTGAGTACATATAGCAAACCCTAAGTTGGGCTGTACTCGCTATAGAGTACCCCACTGCAGGCTAGACAAATACTGCATTCTGACAATCTTACATGCTTCTTAGTCTTTTCTTCTTGCTTCTTCCACACGCCACCGCCATGAAGTCGTCGTCGGTCCAGATTTTCAGCCGTCGTTAGTCCGCCTGCCGTCGTTGGTGTGGTTCGCAGAAACCACTCCAACAACTCCCCCCCTCCTGCGCTGACGTCACTCCCCCCGCCGCTCCCCCCGCCGAACCCCCTCCGCCACGCGGTAGCCGATCAGTTGAGTGCAATACCGTCAGCCCCCGGATAGAAGCGCCCCTGGGGGTATAAAAAATCACTGTTTTTTAGGGGGTGCGCTTATAATTGAGGAATTTTATAAGCGCCGGCGCTTATAAAATGGCAAAAAGAACATATATTTGTTTTTACACCAAACTCTATATCTCGTTCTGCCGATTGTAATCGAGTCGAAAACATATAGGGTCGCGAATCTGATTCTCGCGCAGCTTGGCAGGGAGTGATTCCCTGCCAGCTCACACTGACAAAATGACAGCACATGCTGACTAGACGCGCAAAAGGTGAGTTCAGAGTGTGGGAAATCGAAATTGTAGTTCGTTTCCCTGATAATGTGAAATTCGATTCTGAAATTTGAAAGGTTTTCAAATGAAAAACAAACATGCGCTTATAATATATCATCTTTTTCTAGGGGGTGCGCTTATAATCGAGGACCGGATATAAGCGCCCTCATCCTTTTATAAGCGCCGGCGCTTATCCAAGGCCTGCGCTTCTATCCGGGGGCTTACGGTACATGGTTTGCACGGCAACCTACCGCCTATTCGCCGACGGTAAAAGAAAATGGGGAGTTTTGTTCGAAGGTAATTTGTGGCGTGAGAAATGTCATTTCATTTTGCATTTTGTGTGTGCGCATTTTGTTTGTGTTCTGTGCGCATTCGTCCTTGCATTTTGTGTGTTTCGTTTTCATTTGTAATGGCATTTGTGTTTGTGCATTTTCAGTTTCGTGTTCACTGTTCTCATGATCCGCTCAAATGAAGCTCTCATGAAGCGCTCAAATGAGGCTCCCATGACGCACTCAAATGAAGCTCAAATGAAAGCTCAAATGAAGCTCTCATGAAGCTCCAATGAGGCTGAAATGAGCTTCACATGAAAGTCCCATTTGTTTGTTATGTTTCATGCGTGGCATATGTGAGCGAGTGATGTACCGTGGGGTGTTTATGTGGGGTCGATAGTTTGACTGGGGTGGAATTGACTTTCGCCCTGGTCAAAGTAAAAGGGGACGCGAGAATCTGGACCGCGCGTGGGGTCCAAATCTCGCGCGTGGCCCCTCAGGGCTCGCGCATGTGCCTTGGCACTGTTGCGAGCGTGGCAGGGCCCACGATCGCAACAAGACAGGGCGAATGATCGCCCTGCCCACGCGCAGTACAGTGCACGTCCGAGCGCTGTACAGCACGACCGAAAAGTCGGTCGTGCATGATTGCTCACCTGAGGGGTGCGCGTGTGTTTCGGGGGGTGCCGAGGGATCCCGAGGGGTGCTCGGGGTTGACTCGAGATTTCAGTTGAAAAACTGAATCTCAGGTCTGTCTTTCCTGACGTGGCGAACTCGAAATTTCTCGAGAAAGTCACGCTGCATTGAAGAATGATTTTCCCGCAGGTACAATTCGGTTGCTCGCGTCATCAAACGGTTAAATCCGTTTTACACACGATGCCCGTTTGACTAACCCAAGGTTGCCTTGCTAAGAGGGCTCTTAAGTGATTCTTGCATTTCTCTAAGCTTTCGTCAATTCGCACTTAGCAAAAAGGGCTTTTAAAAGATTTTGTAACTCGCTGTTGACCGTTTGACATGGGTCTCTTCTGTCAAACTTCGGCTTTTGTGGTTCGTATTGCTCGAGGTGCTTATAAATGGGGTGCAACTGCCTGGTACCCTAATACACGGGTGCAGAGTTTCCATCGCGGGCAGAGCAAATTCGCGTGCAGGGGTTGGGCATCTTGTGTACAACTGTAAACTCCCATGAACTTCACGTGAGGCTTATGAACCACCTCCGCCTCTCCATTGAAGCCTGGATGCAGACCATCAAAGAACATGTGAGTGCATTCTTGTCTTTCTAAACCTGGCATGCCCCTGCCTACATCATTCGAATGTTCTTTCTCGATTCAGATGCATACATGCGCATGAACCACCACCGCCTCTGAATTGTGCATGCATGAGAAGATGCGTACCATGTAGGTGTGAACAAGAACCACCTCTCGGTTGAAGGTTGAGACCGAAACATGCCTACAGGCTTGGATCCAAAATTTGAAGCAACCTGTGAGTGCATTCTCGCTCCATCCTGAAGCCTTCAACATGCTGCATTGTATCGCTGTTAAAAAAAAAAAAAAAAAAAAAAAAAAAAGGTGCTATGTGTGTGTGTGTGTGTGTGTGTGTGTTTTTTTTTTTTTTTTTGTCAGGTCGTAGTAGGTTTCGATGCGCAGAGGCCTTGACGCAAAACGAGAATGCTCCATATGGGACTCATATGGGACACAAATGTTCATGTGAGGTGTCAGCATGGGAATTGCCTCAAATGACATCTATTTGCAACAGGGGAAAATAGGCAACAGCCCAAGAAGTTGTGCAACCGTTTTCAAGTACAGCGTGACAAAATCAAGGACTTCGCCCTCCAATTGTTTTATGCTTTCCTTTGCTTGTGTGTTAGGCAAAAACATAAAATGCTTGCTTGTGCTTGTTTGTAATTCATCCTTTCTAGTGGAAATATTTTCTGAAGCTCTCTAACAAGTTAACGTGCTCTATCATCGTATTGACGTGAAGAGCTACTCCGCACACGAGCCCGTTTCGTCGTCAACGCTGCGCAACATAGTTTGGGAACGCTCTAGTACGCACGATAATTTTCATACTTAGGGAAATCCCTCTTCAAACACGGACCCTTGGATAGGGGCTGGTTCTACCAGGCACCCGAGGACCCTTGGAGGTGACCCCGTGGGGACTACCTAGTGTGAGTTAAAGGTGTGTTTAGAGCCTCTAGGTCCCAACTATCCGTCAACAAGTGGTATCAGAGTTGTGGCTTTAAGGACTGCCGTTAGAACACCATGGAGTCGAGCGGAAACGAAGGTTCTCTGGCACGAGCTAATAGTGGAGTCCAAGATGACGGCGGTTCAGCGCCAAGGGGAGTGCGGACCAGTCGGGGCCCACTGTTGAAGGATGTGCTCAAGAACTTCGTTGTCGACAAGTTCAACGGCAATGGCTACGAGGATTGGGCGTGGAAAATGCAGCTCTACTTTTGGCAAGTCGGATTACTGAAGATAATGACGGGATTGGAGAAGAGGCCAAGCGATCCCATCATGCAGGAGGAGTGGAACGAACGTTCGACCGCCAGCTACTATCTCCTATCTCAGAGCCTGGAGCTGAATCAAAGGTCGCATGTGATGCATCTGCTGGAAAAGGATGATTGCGGGCCCCAAGCTTGGAAAGTGCTTAAGGAACTACACGCGCCAACATCGGTGGTTGCAACGCTCATGCTGGAACGCGAGTTGGCGTCATTGAGGATGAGTGA